TGCTGTTACGTGCTGATTGCTGCTGATGCAGCTGCTACGTGCTGGTTAATCGCTGTTCTAGCTGCGCTGCTGCTGCTCGCTGCTTGCTGCTGCTGTTGCTCGCTGCCGTTGCTGCTTGCTTATTGCTGCTGCTCTGTTTGCTGTTTGCTGCTGCTGCTGCTGCAGCTGAATCCCTACGCCTTGCGCCCGCTGCTGCTGTTGCTGCTGAGGGACTGTCCTGCTGCTTGCGTCTCTTGAGTCTCGAATTGGGCGAGGTGCAGCAAGCAGCAGCAGCAGCAACAGCAGCAGCAGCAGCAGCAGCAAGCAGCATTGTTGCGGGGAATATGGCCAACTGCCTGCCGCAGCTGCTGCTGCTGCTGAAGGAGCAGCACGAAAAAGTGCTGCAGGCTGAAGCAGCAGAGGCGCAGGTTGCTGCTCATCACAGCCAGCAGCAAGCTGCTGCTGCTGCTGATGGTGCCTTGCAGCAGCAGGAGCAGCAGCAGGAGCAGCAGCAGCAGCAGCTCGTCGCCGCTAAAGCTGCCAAAAAGCAGCAGAGGTCTGAGGAGCTGCTGCTGGTTACTGTATTGCATGGTTGTTTGCTGCTGCATGCACCAGACGCACAGCAGCAGCAGCAGCTGCAGCAGCAGCAACAGCACCATCAGCTGCTGCTGCTGCTGCTTCAACAGCAGCAGCAGAAACAGCAGATGCAGCTGCCTCCTGGATACTCAGCAGTAGCTCTTAAAGAGTGGATCCCTCAGGTATGAACTTCCGGTGCACGTGGCTGCTGCTGCTGCTGCTGCTGATGTTGGTGCTGCTGCTGCTGTTGCTGCTGCTTGCTGCTGCTGCTGCTGCCTGCGGTATTGGAGGCGCCTTGGAAATATTCTTACCTATTTTATGCATCTGGTGGTAGTGGCAGCGCCGACAACAGCAGCAGCAACCAACTGCAGCAACAGCAGCAGCGGCCCCAACAGCAGCAGCAACAGCAGCAGCAGCAGCAGTTTGTGTGTCTTTCTGTGGTTCAGCTGGTCCAAACATTTTGCTGCTTGTCTGGCAGCAAAAGTGAAGGCGAGAGAACTCTGCTAGCGGAGGCCTTAGTGCATTTGCAGCTTTGCTTCCCCTGCTGCAGCAGCAGCAGCAACAGCAGCAGCTGCAGCAGCAGCAGCTGCTGCTGCATCTGCGAAGCTGTCCACGGCTTCTTAAATGGAGCTACACCCGAGGAGAAGCTCACGGGGCTCGCAGTCGTGAGGTACGAGGGTTTAGGGTCGAGGGTTTAGGGTTTAGGGTTTAGGGTCTAGTTTTTAGGGTTTGCAGCAAAAAAGAAACATAAAACCCTTATTTGTTTTGTTTTAAGGGAAGGAGCTGCTCGAAGTGTCAAATTTAACAAAAGTTTAAAGAGCGGATTTCTGGCCTGCCTCACTGCTGAAGACCTGCGGGTACTGCTGCTGCTGCTGCTGCTGCTGCTGCTGCTGCTGTCGCTGCTGCTGCTGTTGTTGCAGGTGCTGTTGTTGTTCGTGCTGGTCACGGTCTGCGTGTTGCTGTTGCTGCTGTTGCTGCTGCTGTTCTTTACGTTGACTGCAAGAGCTCAATGGTCCTGCTGCTGATTTAAGCGCCGCTGCCACTGCTGCTGCTGCTGCTGCTGCTGCTGCTGCTGTGCTCCAGCAGCAGCATTCTTTGTGGGAGCCGCACGCAGACAAAATGGATCTTGTTTGAAAATAAATTTCATTTAAATTATATTCGAATAAAATATATTTAATTTAGCTATTTATTTTACTTTACTTCAAATTATTTCTTCAGGTCCGCCGGTTGGCAGTCACAACTTTGGGGTGTATGTACACCTCAACCCTCAGCGCACTTTGGGGACTTCCGGCCGAAACAGAAACCCTCGCAGCTCATTTGCTGCAGGCTTTAGAAGTAGGGTTTAGGGTTTAGGGTTTAGGGTTTACGCCCTGGGGGCGTTCCAGGGTTTGCGGTTTGGGTATCAGGGTTTAGGGTTTAGGGTTTAGGGTTTATGGTTTAGGGTATTATTTCAGCAACAAATTCATTAAAAGCAAAAGACTCAGTTCCTTTATTTCCACTCAAACAAATTAATTTCTCTTTATTTATATTTATATTTATATTTATATTTATATTTATATTTATATTTATATTTATATTTATATTTATATTTATATTTATATTTATATTTATATTTATATTTAATATTTATATTTATATTCATATATATATTTATATTTAATATTTATATTTATATTTTTATTTATATTAATTGTACCTCATTTTATTCAATTTAATTTTATTTTATTTGCAGATTAGAGAAGATTTAATTACTCAAGTTGATGTGGGGCCTTTTAAACACAAAATTGACGGGGGGCTGCGGCTGCGAAAAGCAGCCTTTGCTGCTCTCGCCCAAATTGCTGCTGCTGCTGCTGCTGCTGCTGCAGCAGCAGCAGCAGCAGCAAGGCCGTTCGCGGCAGCAGCAGAAGCAGATGCAGTTCGCGGCAGCAGCAGAAGCAGATGCAGCGTCACCAGCCGCCCCAACAGCAGCGCCAGCAGCAGCAGCAGCAGCACCCGCACCCGCAGCAGCAGCAGCAGCAGCACCCCCAGCAGCAGCAGCAGCAGCAGCAGCAGCAAGTCCTGTGCCTCTGGGGATTTTGGTGAAAGCAATAGAGTTGAGTTTGTCGGAAAGAAATGAAGAAATTATTTTTGCAGAGGGAGAAATGATGAAAGTCATTTCCCAACACTTGGCCCTTTGGCAGCACGCAGATCTGCTGCTGCAGTGAGTTAATTAATTAACTTATTTATTAATTTAATTAATTAACTAATTAATTAAGTAACTAATTAATTTAATTAACTAATTAATTAATTGACTAATTGATTTGATAAATTAACTCATTAATTAATTAACTGATTAATTTAATTAACTAATTAATTAATTAACTAATGAATTTAATTAGTTGATTAATTAATTAGTTAGTTGATTAATTAATTATTTAGTTGGTTAGTTAGTCAGTTAATTAAATTAATTAAATGATTTGCTAGTTGACTGATTGGTTAAATATTTAGTTATTTTGTTAATTAATTGATTAAGTTGAAATTAATTAATTAATTAATTATTTGTTAGTTGATTATTTATTTATTTATTTACTTATTTAATTTATTTATTTATGTGATTTCTTTATAAAATAAATGAGGCATCAAATACGAGTAATTTGATTAAAGCGAAAATGCAAAGAAAGAAGTAGTAAATAAATCAATTAATTAAAATAAGTGAATTAATTAAAGTAAGGAAAAAATTAAACAATAAATAATTAAATTTAGAATAAATAAAATAATTAAAATAATTAAAATAATTAAAATAATAAATAAATATGTTATTTATTTGTTTTGCTGCTTCCAGATTGCCCAAACTGGGGCCCCCGCTGGAAAAGGCCCGGCAGCGGCTGCTGCAGATCCTGCGCTCAGCAGCAGCAGCAGCAGCAGCAGCAGCAGCAGCAAAGGGCCCCCAGGCTGCTGAGGCGCTGGGGTGTATTCGCAGGTCGCTGCAGCAGCTAGTAGACAGCATGGAAGCAGAAGGCATTTCTGTTTTGCCAATTCAAGAAGCTCTTGAGAAATATAATTCACAACCAACCGAAAACTAGGGTTTAAAGTTAGGGTTTACGGTTTAGGGTTTAGGGTCCGGGGCTAGCGTTTAGGGTTTGGGGCTGCTGTTCAAGGCTCGCGGCGGCTGCGTTTCTGCGCCTTACTGTGTGAGGGTTTAGGGTTTAGGGTTTAGGGTTTCTGATGACTCATCACCGTGTATAAATGAGTCATTAGAAACCCTAAACCCTAAACCCTAAACCTTCACGAAAGGTGTCAAGTTTGAAAATCTGCAGAATTGCCTTTTGGGCTTAATGCGCAATAAATATGAATATTTACAAATACATATAAATGCATATATTTGCAAATATTTATTTGCAAATATATATCTGTAAATATACATATTTTAAATATAAATAAATTAATCCAAATAAGTGAATATTAAATGCGAGATATATGCAGAAATAATATTTGTTTCTGAACAAAGATTTTCAAGGTGTACATACACAAAGAGTCTGCGATTTCCCCTTTGTCGACTTCGATGGGCTGAAACCGACGCAGAAAGCTAGGGTTTAGGGTTTAGGGTTTAGGGTTTAGGGTTCAGGGTTTAGGGTTTAGCGTTCAGGGTTTAGGGTTTAGGATTATTTTGGCTGCAAGGTGTGAGGAGCTAGGCGTTAGGGTTTCGGTCTAGGGATGCAGACGCCGGCTAGTATCAAAGCTCTTTCAGAAAATGATGAATTAGGATTCTTTTTATCAAATGAATTTAATCGGGAAGAAGTAAAAGGAGTTTCAATTGTTTTGACCGAGAATAATTGAACAGAGTTTCAAAATAAGCAGTGCAGCAGGAGCTGCGAGCTGCACATACACCCGAGCAGCAGCACTGCACCACTTCTGAACAGGGGCGATCATGGATCTTCGCGGGGGAATTTCTCGTTTTTAAATTTGAAAATAGAAAGCTGTGGCAAATTCTTTTCCAAAAGTGCATTACTGGGCAGAAAGCAATGAGAGGAGCAGCCGCAGCAGCGGCAGCAGCGGCTGCATTTTCCTGTTTCTGCACCAGCAGCAGCAACGCCTCCAGACTGCAAATTCGCGAAAAGTTTTTTTCGCAAATCGCAGCAGGCGCTTTGGGCGGAGCCCTTGGCCCTTTAGCGCCGCAGCAGCAGCAGTTTCCATTTGCTGCAGGTTCAGCAGCTCCTGCTGCTGCTGCTGCTACTGCTCCCGCAGCAGCAGAAACCCCCGAAATACCTGCAGTGGACGTCGGTGAGCTGCTGCTGCTTCTGCAAAAAGAAGAAAACTCCTTTTAATATTTTCTAAATTTTGAATTCAAAAGAAAAAACCGGAAAGCTGGAGTCCATGCAGAAGCTGCTTGACCGGAAGATCCAGCAGACGAAGGAGCTGAAGGAGAAACTCGAAGAGGAGTTGAAATTCATGAAAGAAGAAGGTCTTTTGTTTATTTCTTTTCCATTTAATCACTTTTTGCAATTCTTTTTGCCTTTCAGGACTTCTGGAAACCAACAAAGGAGCTGCAGCGCTCCAAGGTGCTATTTGCAAAACTTGGAAAATTCAAGTTTGAAAAATTCAACTTTTCGCTGCAGCCCCCAGAGCCGCGACGGGACAGGCGGGCGCGAGTGAGCAGTCAAAGATGAATTTGAATTCGAGTTGAATTCGAAATTAAATTCATTTATTTTATTATTTCATTTATTATTTATTTTATTTCATTCTTTTTTCAAATTCAATCGCTCTCCAGTCGGGGGTATGCTGCCGGATCTCGCGGCTCCGGTGATCTTCATGGAGCCCCCCCCGGTGACCCAGTCGCAGACACTGGAGGTTCGCGAAAGAAGCTGAAAAGTTGAATTAAACCCTTTCCACTTCTTTTAAAATATCTTTCAAGTATTCTAAAAGAAACTTTTGCAAAAATTTCTTCTTTTGGGCCCAGGCTGCAGAGATTGCAGAAACAACTCTGGCCCAGATCGGCGACCAGTCCAGCCCAGCCATGAAAGCCGTGCGCGAGTATGAATTGCGGAAACTCGGGGAGATTTCCGGAACAACTCTCGAGGTAATTCAATTAAATTCGATGAATTATGAACAATGTATGTTTTTAACATTCAATTTTATTCTTTTTCCTTTCAAATTGCAAAAAATGCTGCGGGTTTCAGCAAATCCGAAAGGAAATCCGCGAGACGGAGTCGGCGATCGAGAAGAGGAAAAAGGAGCGAAACGATCTGACAAACAAGTGAAAAGGCTTTTTTCTTTTTGTTTAAAACAAATAAAATTCAAATTAATTCAATTTGTTGCATTTTGATTCAATTTTATTCCATTTTCTTCGAATTCAGACTCAAGAGCACTGCGCGCGAACTTGCAAAATCGGGGAACCGCCAAATGGAACTCGAGGCGACCTTCGCCAACGCAGGTGCCGCAGCCTCGAATTAGAAATTAAAAACTAAATTAAAATAATAAAAAAAAGTAATTCAAAATTAGTTTTGAAATTGTGTTTTTAATTTCAAACGTTTTGCAGATCTCCGCGAGAAGTCGAAAGAACTTGACATCCTGGCGAACAAGCTGACGCAGCTGAAGACTCGCGAGAGGAATCTGATTGAAAGAGAAGTACTGAAATGTTTCTGTTTAAATATTATCATTTCATTTTTGAATTTAATTATTTTAATTTAATTTATTTCCCAATTTAATTCAATTGAAACCCACTCAGGGGCCTGGAACGGAGGCCACGGAAGAGCTCGGTGGGAGAAACTGCAGTTCTCTAAAATGGAATTAAATTTAATTCTTTTTAATTCTTCAGAAAAAGAAGAAGCGGAGGCAGAAGACCTCGCCACAGAGATGGAGGGCGAGGAATGAAAGCCCAAACCCCAAACCCTAAACCCTAAACCCTAAACCCTAGGGCGAGGAACCGGCGCTCAAACCCCAAACCCGAAACCCTAGGGAGAGAAATGAGCGCCCACCCTCAAACCCTACACCTTGAACCCCAGGGACGAGGAATGAACCCCCAAACCCCAAACCCTAAACCCTAAACCCTAAACCCTAAACCCTAAACCCTAGGTGGGGGGAGTGCCGCGGGGAGGCTCTGGGGCTCGCGAAGTCCTGGGGCTCTGCGACTTTGGCGAGGGCCTGCAGCAGCTTCTGCTTGCAGCGTTTGCGAGTTGCTGCTTTTGCGAAAATCTGAAGCAAAAATCGAAGAAAAAGGGTTTTAAATCCCCTTTTGCTGCTGCATGCGCTGCAGCAAAAGCCCCATTCAAAGAGCCTCGTTTGCTGCAGCAAATGCCACTTTTTCCCCCTTCTTGCTGCTACAAAAACTCACAAACAGCAGCAGCAAAAATAGCAGCAGCAAAACCACCAGTGCTGCTGCTGCTCTCCAGGGGGCCCCCGCGCCCGCCGCTGCAGAGAGCTCTTCGAGAAGTTCCTGATTGAAATAAAAAACAAATTAAATTAAATTAAATTAAATTAATTAATAAAATTTAATTGATTAAATTAATTAATTAAGTTTAATATAAATTAAAAATTCTCAGATCGCTGAAAAAAACGGAAATGCAAACCCTAAACCCTCAGTTCTAGCTGCTGCACTTCGCGCCAGCGTTAAGGTCTAGGGTTTAGGCTTTCAAGTTTTGAATTAGGGTTTAGGGTTTAGGGTTTAATTTTTAGACTAGTGTTTAGGCTCCAGGGCTCAAAGTGTAAACCCCAGGGTTTAGTGTGTGGGTAGAAGCAGCCTGCAGAGGCTCTACAATGCGCGAGCATGTTTAGGGTTTAGGGTTTAGGAAATAGGGTTTAAAACCACATTATAGGGTTTAGGGTTTACTTCTCTAATGAAGGCGCCGTCAGCGCGGCCCCCGAACATATCCAGCAGGGTCACCACGTTGATGCCCTCCAGCAGCCTGTGCGAAACCCTAAACCCTAAACCTTAAACCCTAAACCCTAAACTAGGGTTTAGATGTAGGGTTTTACAGCTGCTTTGCGCCTGCCAAGCCTTCAGCCCAGGAGTCTTCACTGCCATTGGCACAAGCCCTAGATATCAGCCCTTGCCCTCAACACAGCACCAAACCCTAAACCCTAAACCCTAAACCCTAAACCCTCAACATACCAGTCTGGCGGAATAACTAGACGCGCTTCGTTTAAGCCTTTGTCGGCCAATTCCGTTGCCACGGCGTACTCGCCTGCATGCATTTAAAAACCTAAACCCTAAACCCTAAACCCTAAACCCTAGACCCTAAACCCTACTTCCTTAAGAGCGTAAAGGCAAACGAGTCAACACTTGCTGAAGTTTAGGCTTAGAATTAGGGATTAGGTTTGAGGCTTTAGAGCCTCGAATTAGGGTTTAGGGTTTAGGGTTTAGACTGACCGAGAGGATAGCCATTGATGGTCGCGAAGCCCACAGAAACTCTCCCTTCGCCTAACCACACCCCAAACCACTATACCCTAAACCCTAAACCCTAAACCCTAAACCCTAAACTCTAAATTCTAAGCCCCGAATGGCTCGAAGACGCGATTTGCATGTGGATTGCAAAGTCCTCGACTGAAGAAATAGGGTCGTGGCTTCTAAACTCAGGGTTTAGGGTTTAGGGTTTAGGGTTTGCCTGAATCAGAGGGCATAAGATGCAATGTGTACTTCACGTTCTGCAGCGGCCGCTGCTGCAGCAAGAACAGCAGAGTGCTCCTGCAGCCACACGCCCTAAAAACCCTAAATCTTAAACCCTAAACCTTAAGCCCTAAACCCCAAACCCTAAACTCTAAACCCTAAGTTTAACCCCAAGCCGCAAACACTCCAGTGCAAGGAGGCTTCCTAAGCGATGGTTCCTAATCTTTGAAGCTTCAGCGTAAACACTAGACCCCAAACCCTAGACCCTAAACCCTAAAAGCTAAACCCTAAACCCTAAACCCTAAACCCTAGCTTACCGTCTGAGAGGCTGAACGCCCTCTGCGGTTCTGCTCTCGCTAGTTAGCCAAGACGGCAGAAGAGGGCCAACATAACCCTGCATCCAAACCCTAAACCCTAAGACCTAAACCCTAAACCCTAAACCCTAAACCCTAAGCCCTCAGTTTAAAACGTCAATTTCAGCCTACGCCAGCATCCCTCGGCACAGCTAGGAAAGATTTGTATGCAAACAAGGACCAAGGGTTTAGGGTTTAGGGTTTGGAGCTCACCGCTGGCCAGTCAGCAGCAGCTAACACCCAAGACGGGAGTGACCCCAGCGCCCGCAGCCACAGAGGCAGCAGCGGCTTTGCTGCAGCAGCAGCAGCATCAGCAGCAGCAGCATCAGCAGCAGCAGCTGCTGCAGCAGACCTGCAGCGCCGAAAAGCAACACAAGGATTCTTCCTGGGCTGCTGCTGCTGTGCTGCTGCTGTGCTGCTGCTGCTGCTGCTGTTGTTGTTGTTGCTGCTGCTGCTGCCAGCAGACCCTACCCTCCGTCTTCCCACGCAGCAGCAAATCGCCAAGGGGGGACCTTGAGGTTCTCATCGCTGAAGCCGACACACATCTGCAGCAGCAGCAGCAGCAGCAGCAAAAAGAGAAGCAGCAGCATATTAGGTAGCAGCAGCAGCAGCAACAGCAGGATATTAGGCAGCTGGAGCAGCAGAAACGCATCTACCAAGCAGCTACCGCGACACGAGCAGCAACAGCAGCAGCAGCAGCAGCAAAGCAACACTTTAGGGTTTGCTTACAGTTAGCTGAGCAGCATCAACAGGGGCTCCATCTATAAAGATTTCCGGGCTGTGGGGTCCTGCTGCTGCTGCAGATGTTGCTGCTGCAGCAGCTGCTGCTGCTGCCCCTGCACCTAATTTACAGCTAGGCCCTCCTTCCAGCTTCCCCTCAGCCGCCTGCAAAGCCTCTTCGTCGCCGTTGCTGCTGCTGCTGCTGCTGCTGCTG